GCACGACTTGAAGCCGCCTTTGACTTTGACTTTGACTCGTGAGTGGATTTTATTTTATTTTATTTCATTTCGTTTCGTTTCGGCTCTGTTTTTGTTTTTTTTTTTTCGTTTGTTTGCCAAGCTGAAAATATATTTGAGTTTATGCTTTCGTCACCCGTTGTCTCTCTGCTCTTGGGCTTGTGTTAAGTCTGCATGAAAATTTCATTTGGCAGCGCATCTCTCACATCGACTTTAATACACGTCCTTTGTCGAGAGGCGCATAATTCATAACGGAACTCGCTTTAACAGCTGCGGCCCCAACAACGCAGCATCATGAATCGCGTTAATCGATTGTCGGCGGCAACTGTGAATGCCAAAGCACTGGATGAGAAGGGGGGAGGTGAAGGAGAGTAGAGTTGGACTTCTAGCTAACAGGCTGGCAATTGTGATAAATCCATTTCGTTGTTGTAGACTATTCTCATTGAATGTAGCACAAACACATACATACATACATAGGCATGTTCATAAACTAGATTTATTAACACACTTTCATGCAAATGCTCAAGAGCACACATGTAAATATACATACATACATACATATGTATGTATGTAAATATTCCAGCGTACATGTTGCTATCTTTGATAGCTAAACTCTTGCAATCGAACAATGAAGACAATCTTCTACTTATCGTCAAATATAATCATAAATATATACAATAAAATATATGTACATACATATGTATATATGTATATTCTATTATCGTAGTCAAATTGCCAGCGAAATTGCTTATGAGAATGCAGAGGCGTGTGGCTGCATGGATGGCAATATAAAAAGCTCGTAAACGAGTGCCTATACATATATACATACATACATACGTATGTAGACTAAGTATCTATATATATGTATGCATACACGCCTATGTTATGTATGTAGGAGTGTGTTCAGCTATGTATGTATGTACTGTTATGAATGTAGTGCCTCATGTGGCACATATTGTAGCATATGCAGCCTTATAGCGGCTGACAGCGAGCTTTTTGCAAGCGCTCAAAATGAATTACGCGATGCTAAACAACTGTAGCAGCATCAGCAGGGCCTACAGAGACAGCAGAAAGACCGAGAACACCTGACAGTTACTTCAGGTATGAAGGGACAGCACCAACGCTGGCCTGTTGCACGATAGTACCGCTGCTGCTGTCGCTGCTCGTGGCTGCTATTCGCACGCACTGTCATTCACTAACACTCGCCTACAATAGCCGCGCCATTGCCTGCTTTCAGCTCTCCCGCTCCTTCTCGTTCTCCCTCTCCAGCTCCTGCTCAGAGTTGCTCTTGTCCTATTTCTCTGTCTCGTATTGTTTTTACTTTCATATTTTTATGCTACTGTTTATATGCCGCTCACAAAAGTACAAAAATGAGCATATTGGTTTCCAGAATATACAAGGTAATTTTTCATATTTAATTAAAAAACAACTTCTTTTAAATTAAAAAACAATTATTTATCTAATCACAGTTTGGCAGTAATTGGACAGTAATTGTCTTAACTCCTCGATTAAAATGCTTTCAAATGAATCTGCAATTGCTGTTATCGCATATTGCATCTCATACAGAGCATCGTCTCGTTGGCTACACTTAATTCACTTCATTCTCTTTTCTTGTACCGTTGTCTTGTTGCTATTGCTTGTCTAATTTTCATGCAATTTGCCTGCAATTTGCGTCCCTTCCGCCTACATGCGAATTATTTACAATTTCATTTGGCCGCTCAAAACGAATTGAAGCAAGCGGGTGTAACAGAGTGTGTGTATATGAGTGTGCAAGAGAGAGAGAGAGAAGCGTAGGAGTAGCAGTAGGAGAAAGAGGGAGGGGAGGCTTCAATAGGCAACGCCAACAGCAGCGACAAATAAATTAAATAAAAATTTGCGTGGCCCGCTTTTTGTGCCTTTTGGCAAAAAGGAAATGAATGATTTATGGGCAAAGGGACAGCTGCGGACCTTAAGGCGACGCTGCGTGTTGTTAGCGGTAATTGGGGAGGGGCTGGAGGCTGGTAGCTGGATGATTGTTGTTGAGTGCGCCCCATACAAGTTTATAGCGTGTTCACTGTACTGCACGTTTGTTGTTTTTTTTTTTTTTGCGTCTAATCCTTTTTGCACTAATTTATTTACTTAGCCTGCCTTTTCACTTAGGCGCATAAATCAAATAAGCAAATAAAAATAAATTTGAACTTTTCTGTTTCTGCTTCTTCTTTGCTGTTCATTTTACTGCTAAGTTATACCCTGTGAATTATAGTAATGAGTATGCCAGTATTAGGCTATTATCTTTCGCTTTGAGCTAGGTAACCGTAAATTTGATATGCAACTTGAGCTATGCTGGCTCTAGGCCTGTTAGGAAACTAATTGGATTGTCTGATAAACATCTCTTACTGAGCTCACTGAACTCGGGAACTGTATAAATTAGACCTTTCAAATTGGGTATGTAAGCTTATGGGGTATTTTTCTAAGTAGGTATAAGCCGTTTGATGTGCAAAAATCTAGTTTGACTTTGGAAAATATTGTGTTGTCTACTAATTCAACTAATCAATTATAAAAGATAAACTATTGAAATTTGACATTGAAATAAACGTTAATTCCTCTTGAAAAATTGTAATCCAGGGCAACTCTTAGTCGAGATACACATATTTGTTTCTGTGTTTCTTTTCATTTTGTAATTTTGTGAGTGTGTGTGTGTGTGTGTTTTTTTTTGTCCACGAACTGGCTTTAAAATTAATTAAACTAAGAACTTGAACAAAAATGCGAAGAAATTCATTTAAGTCGAAGGCTGCCAACTTTTTTGCCTGGCAACGAATTGGTAATGAAGTCGCCCAAAAAGTTGGCGACCAGACCCCACTGAGCGAGCTGGGTGGTTGGGCGTTTGGGTGGTTGGGTGGCCATTTTAAATGTGTTGGAAAAACGTGAAAAGTCCTGCGGAAAGTCAGCGAATTGGAAAAATCTTCTAGCTAACCAACAACACTTCCCAAATTTTACCTTAACTCAAGCAGCCATCAACCAACCACCACCACCCACATTCTTCTCCCTTTCCATCTCTCGCTTGCATACAGCTGAAATTTGCATTTCAGGCAAAGCCTAGGCCAGCGGCTATCTATTACGAGAAAGCCACCCCCTTCATCAGCCGCCCCCTTTACCAGCTTTAAATATTGAGCCCATTTATATTGTGCAGCAGCATCCATCGATTGCGCAACTATACAAAAGCCAATTCAAACCACAATCACAGGCCCAGGTAAGTCCAGAGAGCAGTTGATCGAAGTGCAAATACCCTATAGTATAACAAACGTAATAAAAATGGAATCATTCAGTTATCAACATCAGGCATCGACTATCGATTTTTATCGTGTTCTTATCGTATCTGGATCAGGCAAACCCTTAAATCTAGCTCTTCAAATCAAACTTTAGTATACATATTATTTTTGCCTAGGAATATTGCCTAGGAATCAGGCTATAACTATCAGTTAAGATATTCGAGTTAAATGACAAATAATCAAATTTTAAAATTACTTAATATAACCCCATATACCCACTAACACTGGGTAGACCAATGGCAAATGTGACACATAAATTCTGCTCAAAGCTCGCTGAGGCGCATCACAAAGGAGATAGTTAAGGAGGAAGGAGAAAAGTTTGCAATGGTGAGTGATATAATGTATTATATGAATGTCAAATGCACATACCTACACATACATACACGCGAGCTTGTGTGTGTGTGTGTGTGTGTAGACAACTTGAAGCTGATTATCATGATGCGAGTTTCAATATCAATTTCCTTTCCGCACTTTCAGTTAGACATGTGAAATCCTTTTCAGACATTTCACAAATGTTTCGCCACAATCAAACCCTAGTCCCATACCTATCTCTATGTCTCTCTCCCTCTCTCTCTATGTCTTTTTCCCATTGGCTCTGTTTCTGTCTCTGAGTGTTTGTGTGTGTGTCTAAAATTGTTTTCTGTCAACTGTAGGGCTCGCCGGTCGAGTTTTGACTTTGATGTGGCCTTAGAGCGAACGGCTAACAGCATTTGCATAATTCCCTTGCCAATCTGCACAAAGTGCTGATTAGTTGCCCATATTCAAAATACCTCCTGCCGTGTCTAAATCCCTTCCCATGTCTAATAATTGTGGCATGCAACGCTTTTAACGTGCCAGCCACAAAATTAGATTCCAAATAGAATTTGTTTACATCCACTTTGACCAACAACAGTCAAAATATAATTTCATACCCATTTCGTATAATCCATAAATCCAGCTTCACACTGACATAAGCCATGAAAGCTCTAATTAGCTCGAGCACTAAGAGTAAGCGTGTGCACCATTTGAATGGAATGGAATATTAGTTTTTCTCTCATATTTTAAAAGGGCTTCAGCTAAGTGTTATTCCAATTTTAATTCTACATCTAGTTATGTTGTGTGTGTTACATATGATTAAATATAGGTTCAAAGAGAGTGAGTGAGAGGGTAATAGGGAGTGCAGGAAATCTTTGTATGAGCGTAGCTCTATTCTCTTCCTCTCTCTGCTTATCTATCTGTATATTATCAGACTACGTCTCTATATCCTCTATCTCTATCAAAACAGAATATCGTTCTTTCTTTATCAATAAATATCTCTTCTTTACTTTCAACTTTGCTTTGTCTTTCTTAGTCTTTATCTCTCTCTCTCTCTCTCGCTCTCTCTCTGTCTCTCTATTACCCTCTCGTACACACTCTCTCTCTTTCTCTCTCTATTTACTCCTCTCACTCACTCTCACTCCGAACGACACTAGCCACTCAATCTATTCCATTTCACCTCTCTCCTTTATAGAACTCTTCCTCAAACTGCGCCTCTCCATAAAGGATCAGAATAAATACATATAATATGTCTGTTACGCTCGTCTATACAAACCATTGTAAATGCTTATAGTTGCACTAAGCAGTCAATTATATAAGATTGTCTATATTTATAAATGTAATATAATTGGTAATATAATCAATATTGCATTAAGTTGGTTTAGTTAAATAATAATAATAAGTTAGTCTGTACGCTGATTGGAGTACACATTAATCTTAAATCTATTCATATATACGATAGCTTGCACATGGAATGAACTAAATCTAGAAATGCCTAAGCTTAGAATAAAAAGTGGCTGATAACCAGTCAGTCCTCCGGCTGATGAGTCATACAGCGGGGAGTTACCCCTCCGGCTGATGGGACACACGGCTGGTGGGTCATCTTAGCCTGAGGGGCTGGACGTGGGCGACTCCATGCTCGGGCGCTGGCGATTTGACGGTGGCCAGGCAGGTCTGCTTGAGAGATTTGCCCGGCGGCCTTTTGATGCACTCGTCAAAGTAACACTTCTCCACGTTGTGCAAGAATTCGACAAGAAGCTTGGCATCGGCCCCATTGGGGCCAGCAAAGTATTCGCACTCGTAGCTATGGAGCTTAAGGTCGCGCACACAGCAATCGAGGAACTCGGCATTCGCGGAATACCAATTGTTGTGACGCATTAGAGGAATGCCCAGACGTGCGCGCACAATGCCCGTCAGCCAGGTATCGTCGATCCAGAAGAATGGCACACGCATCGCCTCCGCCACCAGCCTGGCTGCAGTGGCCACATTCGTGATGTACAGCCAGCCGGACAGGTAGGCCGGATAGAGAGCGTGGGGATACTCCTGCCGGGTCACATACCATTTGTTCGCCTGCACCCGTATTGGCGGCCTGGCGTCCAGGACATAGCCTGCCAGGAGGGCGCTGCTGGTGGCTAGCGCTGGCTGGCTGAGCTCCAGACTTTCGAGATAGCGTCGCAAATGGAATATATCATAGATGATGTCATCATCCATCTTGATGATGAACTTGGTACGATGCTGGCATTCGCTTCCTGCCCAGCGCAGACCCATCACATGTTTGTAGCTGAGATTCCGATAGGCCTCGACAAAGTTGCCCTGCAGCAAATCCCCAAAGCGCGCCTGCTCGTCCATCAGCTGAGCCTGCGTCACGAAGTGCTCGCGCGCCGGCAGAGCGGCCAGTAGAAACACACGCTGCAAGCCCATCTCAGCCAGCTTGCTTTGTGCGATTGCCTGTCGGTGGGCAGCTCGAACTGCATCGTGGCCCGCATACGAGGTGACAATGAGTACAGCTGCAATTGATGACGGTAATTAGATGTGATTAAACTCGGTATCTTTGATCACACCACTCACCCAGCAGCTCACGTTCGGCGCGTCGGCACACATTGCTGGCCAGCAGATAGTCGAAGTTGGACAGATTCAGCAATGGACCAGGTCCAACTTCTGGCAGATGTTCCAACAGTGTCGTTTGGTCACTGTCATTGTCATCCATGCTGTTGGGTGGCAGCTGAACAAGAAACTCATCTCTTTGGTTCTTGCTGCGCAGCGGACTTGCTATGTAGCTGATGCATAAGATGATGATTACAATTAGCGATATGGCAATTGGTAGCAGTCGACGGCCGCGCATGCGCATCTTCAAACATTCTATAATTGTAAAGCTGTATAGGTGTGTGGGTGTGTATTCGAGTGTGTGCCTGTGTGTTTGATTGTATACGAGTATCACGAACAAAAACTGATAAGAAACATGAAAACAAATGCAATTCAAACACACCACACGCAGCACCACCACCAACACAACAAAAAAAAACAAAACAAAAAAAACAAAAAGCAATTGGCTGTCGTTGCAAATGACTATCGAAGAGGAAACATCGATAGGCTTTCGGTGCACCACAACAATACTCGTGTCGAAGATGGTAACGCGGCGCTAATGATGACTCTCTTGACATTCGAGACGTCATGTTTATTTGTGCCACAAACACTCATACTAGTTATGTAATAAATTAATTTATTTATAATGCATTTAGTCAAGTATATATATGATTGCAATTCTTATTATACATATTTCAGCAATTGAATTTTTTGTGACGTCATTGGGCCAAAGCATTTGCACTCGTAACAAACATGAATAAAATTTTAAAAATATTGTGGCTGAGCATGCCTTACTCTCTTAAATACAGTAACATAGTATACATACATTTGCTACGGAAACTGTGTACTTCTCACATATACATTCATATATATTTTGCTACAAATTGTGTGCTTTGCTGATATCGAAATGTGTATTTTAAATTGCATTTGTGCGTAAGAGCTGCAACAATAATCGGACTATCGGAATACAACCGTGCTTATTCGATGATTGTTGGCAACTTGCGATATATAATTGTGCACACTAACGAAACAAAATACAATCGGTTCGACTGCGCGCAATTTAAACTTGAAATACATAAAACAATTGGCTAAACTATACGCTTAGATAAGCACCACAAATATATAGATGCACTTAAGGAAATTTGTATTGCAATTGAATTGAATTGTCTGTTCATTGTGGCGACAAATATGGCGCGTACCGTCTATGAAGTACAACGGGACTTTGCGATGAGCAGCGGCATACGTTCAGAAATAATTTGGGACTCGTGGGTTTAGCTTGAAATATATATAAATAACTTTTTTATACAGACTATTTAAAAAAAAACTCAATCTTTACTTATCCGCAGGCTAGCGCACGACCAGGCGGACGTCCTTAAACAAAAGTTGTCAAATCTGCTTCATGATCAGATGGGCCTAACCCCCAAGGCGCTGGCCACCCAACGGCAACAGTTATTCGAAAATGTGTGGAAGCAGCGCATTTATACAAATCGAACTCTGCTGTCGGCCATTATCTATGTGCTGGTAACCCCGGAATCGGATCCCGCCTTGGCCTTGCAATCCACTGATTTCAGCTGCCATCCAGTCATACGAACGCGTAAATGTGTGCGAGCGGATGGCAGTAACAGTGACGGTTGCTGCATGATTTTCATCGATGAGACTGGTCGCGTCTATGCCAATTGGGAGAAGTATATACGCAACAATGCGCTGCCCAAGGGCACAATGATAGCACCAGAACGGGGCATCTATACGTTCAACTCTGACGACGACTACGAAACAGTGAAATTGATGGTGCAATCGACGCCCGCTGCCTGGGTAAAGCAAAAGGTTCTAGATGTCAGCGATAAGCTGGTCTCAATTGGTGGCATCCTGGGCACTGTGCCCATAGCAGCTTCCCTGGCATGCCCTGTGGCCGCTCCTATACTGATGGCAGCCACTGTGGTCGGCTGCTCCGCAGCGGCCTATACCACAGTGCGTTCGGCCACACGACTCATCGATCGCAGCTGGCACAGCCAGAGTACATCTCTGGCCAACAGTGAGGCAAGGAGCAGCTGGCTTGGCGTAGCTGGCGGCGTTGCTGGGCTAGGGGCAACGGGCGCAACCACAGCAGTTAACGTTATACGCAATAACACGGGCACTGCTGCTCGGTTGGCTGTCACGGGCATTAATTTATCATCCATGGTCATCTCTGGCACGGGTGTTGTCAACAGCGTCTATGATCTGTACTTAAAGATTAGCGATGAACAGCAGCTGACTAGCTTTGATGTCATGCAAATTGCCTCCAGCTTTCTAATCTTCACGCACTCCATCAACAATATGCGCATCGCTTCCAAAGCGACCAATGGCTACCGCCTGCGACATGCCCTCAGCACGCAGAGCCGCAAAGTGTTTGATCGCATTGTCCGGGAATCGACGAAGCTGCACAGCAATCAAACCGATGGCAAGTTCGATATTGTTCGCATCATGAATGACATACCCTACAAGGAGGCGTTGCTCAGCCTCCACAAGGTCCATTCGCATTTATCAAGTGGCTCCGCAGTGTCGAGCGTTAAGTCTGCTGTTGGTGACCTGCCCCAGTTCGTTCGCCACAAAGTGGGCGGCCAGTTGCGTGTGAACATAGATCAGCTGGCCAGCCAGCTGGGCGTCAAGTTTGTCCAGCAGATCGGCAATCTGGCCAGCTTCAACGATGTGCTTGACGGTCTCCTCCGCTACTACAGCAACCAGGCCGCCCAGTTGCTGATGCAGCTCACTCGCAACTTTATCGAGCAGCAAGCGGATAGCATCGATCGTAACTTAAACACGTTCGTCTCCACGGAGCTGGTGCTCTATCGCATACTGAACCACTGCGTCCAGAACTACGAGAGCTGCGCTGTCGACTTTCTCGAGCGTCGCCGCTTTGAGATTATCGATGTCATTTCCAAATACTTCCAATCGCTGCTACCACAGCCTGAGCATAATTCCAGACGCCGCAAATGTGCCACTTGCCACGGCGTCTACTATATGTGCTCCCTATAGAATAGGCTTTAGTATAAGTTCCTAGTATACTTACTTATTAAGTACTTTGTGATGTGATCTCTGATTTGATCAGCCAAATATGTGATTCTTGTAACTTTGTATATGTTTTATGTGTGGATTGTATTTTCATTAAATGAATACTGTGTAAGTCATGAAAGTTAGTTTTTAAATCATTTATATGCAATAAGTATAAGATTCTCATACACCATCCTCATCAATTTTTAGTCTTTAGAGACTTAAAGTTTCTTGTTAAATTTAAATTCAAAATAATACAATAATAAAGTCTAATCAAATAAAAATCACTTAAAAATCATCTATATATAATAATTAAGTTTTGCCTTATGGGATAATAATCAACCTTGAAGCTTAAGTCGACTTCAAAAGAGCTTAAGAATATTTGTATATGTGTATATTAGCAACAACAGCTCAGGGTATTTTCTAGAAGGCATACCCGAATAGAGCACCCTAATTTTTCCCCTTAACTCGTATATGTATGTATATTGTCTCACATTTATATATAATTAATGAAATAGT